TATTTTTATTTGATAGAATTAACAAGTTCTAGATACACCATTCTTGATACACATAAGGTTAATTCCATGTGATTTGACCCAGGTCATGTCACCATACATCTCAAATTTTGCTAACTTTTATACAGTTGAGAGTACTTAGTAAAATAAAAACTGCTTGAAAATTTTAGCCTCTGGCTTCAAGAAGATTCTGAAATATGACTATTACACTTTTAGCAGATATTGGCCAAGACCCTCTTGTTCCTTCAGAATTACAATGTTTCTTTAGAGGTTTCAAGTCACATAACTTTAAAAATACTTGATCTTTTTACTTAATAATTTGTGCCTGGCAAAAATTCAGGAGTGACAAATCCAATAAAATGATCAGAAATATAAAAAATTATTATTATGTACCTGTATTTATCAATTTAAATAAATTTAAGCAATTTTTAATAAACCTGTTTTTAATGCCTAAGAAACCCATGTAGCCTTGATAATATCAAAAAAAAAAATTTACACATCATTCTGTATTAATTGATCTTTCAGAAAACATAAGGATTTTGATCTGCAAGTATATAGATTTCTATATATGGAGAACTGGGAACTGTCCCCACTTTTTTGTAGCAGAATATTGTGATTGATATTTCTCTACCTTCCAAACTAGCTGGAGCTCTGAAACTTTTGAGATTTCTGAAGTGCTGATAAATGTGCCAATACACCAGAAGGGGGGAGCAGGGTTATGCGCCCCACTTGTTTGTAGCAGAATCTTGCAGCAGATTTTTCACTACTTTCCAGACAAACTGGAGCTCTGAAAATTTCAGCATTTACATAATGAATGTGTTAAAATTGTTTCCAGGGCAGACGATCATATACCCAGGACATTGGGGGCCATGTTTTACTCAAAAAAAACAATTTTTAACTTTAACAAAATAAAGATAACTTTTAAAACATCGTCTTCAAAAATTTTTCTGGTTTAAAATTGTTTTATTTGGTTTTTGATCACTCTATATTGAATCAGCGTTCAAAAATTTTATATTTTAGCCCAGTCTGCCCCACATTTGGGGCAGACGGGGTTAAAATTTTTGGGGCTTTTTTGTTCCCAGGCTCCAATCATTGCAATTTTTTGCAAAGCATCCTTTTTTGACATAAGTATAAACATATAAATGTTTGGAGTTTGCTCCATGCCTGCAAGTTAGATATCTCGAAGATCAAAAAATGCTGGCGCCACCCCTGTTTTATAATGATTTTAACAGAATTTTACATTGTATAATTTTAAACTTTTTGCATTGAAAAAAGTTGATATTTTTTAATGCTTGAATGTTAACAGCAAATTTTTAAGTAACTAAAAAATTTTTAAGTAAATCGTTTATTAACTAAAATAAGTATACACTTGTATAGAAGAAATTACACTAAGTTACACTAGTATAGAAGAAATTTATTACCTATTGAATTCATCATTAACATCTTTAACATAAACAAATTAATTAAACAACCTTGTAAAAGAGACAAAAGATTATCTTTTACATTCAAAAAAAAGGTAAAAGAAATCAATCACTGTTTAGTTTTTCTTTAGCATGGTGTTTAAGTTGCTTTAATTATATTAATTACTATTGCTTTCATATTTTTACCTAAAATACAACTTAGTAGTTAGTTTTACAGTAAGAATGGATTCGTGTGATTTTGGAAAACTGTCAAATGATACTTTTCATAAACTAATTTATTTAAAAAAAAACTGATTTAAAGAGATTTGATTGTTATAGAGAAGATGCCAGAGAAGGATTCATTTGGAGATCTGGAATAACAGATGACAAAATTTTAACAACCTGCCATCATTATAAAAAGATTTTAAAAGTATAACAATTTCTGGAACTAGGAGATGTCATCAATTTAACCCAGAATCTATAGATACTTAGCTTTAAACAAACAAGTGAAGATGTTAATATAAGAGGCATTTTTTCTTTTTATGGTATTTAAAGTTCTCAAATTAATCAGTATACTCACATCGATACATTAAAATTAGGGGAGTTTATTCTTTGTAAATATGATACATTTCATTCAATTGGTATGATATTAAAATGGTATCATATTGAAATCTCTTCATGATGAATTTTGTTTCTTTTCAAATTTTTTCATCTGTTAAAGATGTTGTGACAACATTTATGCAACTCACAGAACCCTTTTAACAAACTTTTCTGGCCATCTAGAGCAGATGAGTATTGGGTTTTAATTACCAACAAAATTTGTATCATGATGCACCTGTAATAACAGCTGGACCTATGTATATTTTGACCGATGACGTATCTAAGAAAACCTTAACACAATCTTGATACTTTATTTTCTTGTATTTTATTTTGTAAATAATTAAAAACAAATAAGTATAAACGAAAAAAAATTTTATAAATGAAGAAAATATATTTAAAGTTATCTTTACTTTGTTAAAATCAAAAAATTTTCTGCAAAAAAGAAATCTTCAAAGAATTTTTATATTACTAAGTACTCTCAACTGTATAAAAATTAGCAATATCTGAGATAAAAGGTGACATTTTAAAAAAATTTTGGGTCATTTGACATGGGTCATATTACCCATTAACAAGATATTGATTTAAATTGCTTTTGGGTCATATTACCCATAAGCAATTTAAAACAATATCTTTAAGTATGTCTTTTCATCTTTTGTTTTTTACTGAACAAATCTGAAATTTGGCATTATTAAAACAAATGTTCATTCATATAAAATGGGAGTTGGTAAAAGATTTTAAAAGTTTAAATGAAAAGTTTGAGAGTCAATCAAAATTCAATTTAACAAATGTGGACTCAAAAAGGGAAGTATAAATCTAGACAACACTCAGTATGTTAAAACAAAATTCTAGGCACAATACTTTTTATACTTAAATGATTAAAAAAGAAGTTCCTTTAATGTAAACTTTAAGGAAGCTATTTGTTTGTAGTTAAAGCTGAAAATGTTAGAATCAAAATTCTTTAATAAAAAAAAATTTACAAGAGAACCTGTAATTATTGATGTTTATAAATTAAATAAATCCAGCTCTTATACAAGATATTGTCATTTAAAACATAATATACAAATAAAAGAAAATACATAAATCAAGATTTCAAAAAGGTTGCATTATCTATAGTGATTATGATGAGTATATATGCAAAACATAAAGAGCATTCGTTCAACGTTTCAATAAATCTATTCAACTTTCAACTGTTAGACAGATTCAATAAAAATTAAAAAAAATAATAAAGATGCAAAGGTGGCTTGAAAGAAAGTATTATTAACATCCAACCAGGGCTTGATAAAAATATAAATTATTTTAAAGCATTTGACACAATAACTTATATCGCAGTTTATTTACGAAATTACTTATGCAAATGTAAAAGAAACTAAAAACTATTATTTGTATTGTTTTCTATGACAATACATTTGAAAAAAGAAAAGATTCAGTACGACCAGTCTTTTCTGATTTTCATTAATGCAGAATTTAATAAATCATATGTAAAATAAATCTTAATAAATTATTTTGTGCATTATTTGCATCATATTCTTTCATTGAGTAATACTTTAGTGTATTAAAAAGCAATAAAAAGTAATGATAAAAATAACAAGGTTATGCAAGGTCATCAAATGACATTTTTTTTAAAAATGTATTTACTTATTTTATCACAAGTTTAATTAACTGTTGTTAAACTATCAGAACAAGTTTTTTAAAACTGTTTTAAAATTTTTTAAACCTTCAAACAGTTGTAACTTTAATTGACTGTAATCTAAACAAATATAATTTAAGTGATCAACAGAGAATATTGTAAACGAATCAACAAAACACAAAACATTTATCCATTCAATATTCAACTTCAAGAAGAGCTATAATTGTTCTGAAAATGTAACAGTTTTCAAAATTTAAACTTAATATTCAAAATTCAACTCAATATTAAACTTGTTTAAAGTGTCATATCAATAATTCATATCAAAACAGTATAACTGTGTAAACAAAAACCAAAAAAATATGTTTAAACATAATAGTAACAATAATAATAATAACAACAATAATAATAAATAATAATAAGAATAATAAGAGTAACAACAATAACAATTATAACAACAATAACAACAACAATGATTGGAAAAATAAAAATGATGATGAAACTATTTGGTGGATTTCATGTATAAATTTTGTACATCACTTATGTTTACAGAATTTACAATGTTACAATAGGTAATTCACAGGAGTTATAACTTAGAACTAATAAATTTGTTATAATAAACTATAATAAGCAATAAAATTAAATTAAATGCAATTAAATCAAAATTAATATGTTTAATAAAAATTGTTTAATGAGTGAATTATTCACCTAAAACATACCATTTTTGCTTAACTACTAACTATATAATTGATATGTCAAACAAATAAATATAATTTTTTTTATTTTCTTATTATCAACATAAATGGAAACCTTGTGCAATAAAACCTTTGCACATAAAAAAACAGAATTTATACTAGAACATGTTGGTATATTTAGCTTCATAATCAAATATATTTACTTCAAAGGTATATATTTCAATGTCATACATTTTAGTATGATAAAATATTATGGTAAGGTAAATATTAAAAATATTTACCTTACCATAATATACAACATATAAACAAAAAGTGAAAATATTTATGAAAATAACCAAAATAAAAAAGAAAAGAAAAAAAAACTATAGTATAGTATAAAAGTATAGTATAAAACTACTCATATAGTTTTATAGTTTACTATAAAAGTAAATAATCACTTACAACGTCAAAACTATAGTTAAAAAATACAAAATTAAAACCCTACTAAATGTTTACTTCAAATGTAGATTACTATTGATAATATAATTGTTTAAAAAAATTATTGCGAATACAAATACTGTGTTACAAAAAATTATTTAAATATTTATATCATTAAAATATCACTATCAAATATTTTCATTAAAATAGCAGCTGGAATTTCATTAGTAATATATTAAATGTTTAAGAAAGTCAACATTTACTTACTTTCTCTTGCCTTTAAATAAACAGTATTGGCAACTATATTTTCCAACTCCATCCATTTAGTTACGTTCTACAAGCTTGCACTATTTAATTTTTGCAGTTTAAGTTGATGCGCTCCTTCTTGGCTGTCCACAACAGTCACAGCATTATTTGTTATTGCATTAAGTAAACAAACTTTGGAAGATTCACCAAAATCTTCCGTAAATTTTAATTTTTTGTTTTATAAGGGAGAATATAAACTTCGTAACATTAATGTAAACGACATAAACAACAAATAGATTAGTTTAGAAATTATAAACAGTCTAAGGAATCAAATTAATACGACTTAAAGTTACTTTAAAGTTGTTTTAAGGGAGATAAAAACTAATAAAAATTTTTTAACCTATATTGTACATAAATAATAAAAATGAAAAGTGAAATCATAACATTTAAAACAGATTTTTATCTATTGAACATTACCAAGGTGCTCTTGCATAGAGATAATCTTCAATTATAAAGCTTTGCAGAATACAAGTGCTCTGAAGGAAAATAAATTACTTTCCATATATACTATGCTATGAAAACACAGCTCAAAAGGCCCATCGCATTCCACTCTTGAAGACATTTCTAAAATCATTAATAGTATAAGCGGAGGCGTCGCAATATGGTTTGACAGGGTCGAAATCCAGAGGACCACCGAGTATTATTAGGATTAGGGGTCACCGAGTTTATTATTGGGTTTGCATTAATAGCAGAAAAATTGTAAAAAAGATGAGTATTCCCAAAGGGTCATCAAGTTTGTCGCGACGCCACTGAATATAAATTATGAGATGATGTTGCGTCAATCTGCGCTATTTTCAGTTATAAATGGTATGAGTGTTTATTTTTTTGCTGTTGTTCTTGTCGTTTTTTATAGTTATTAAGGTGCTTCCCAGAAATCTTTGCAACCTTATTACAGAGCACCAAAGTACAATCTTATCCCAGAGCATGGCGGAAATGGTTAAAATAAAAGAATTCCTCTGTAATATTAGAATTTAAATTTTGTTATCTCAGATTGTGGAATTTTTTAAATATATTATTCGAATAAAAAAACTTGGCCGAGAAAGATTAGTGATTTTCATGAAAATTTTATGATTTGATTTTTACTGATATTCTATATTACATATTTACTATACGTAAACATATAAAATAGAATATTTAAAAATCTGAAGTAAAACACCAGATTTTTATAATACGACTTAACTAGACCATCGTGTCGAGTTGAAGTATAAGTTGTCGCTTTTTTTGTTGTTGTTTGAAATTAAATTTTTTCCATTGTATTTATTATATATATATATATATATATATATATATATATATATATATATATATATATATATATATATATATATATATATATATATATATATATATATATATATATATATATATATATATATATATATTAAGGGGTGCCTCAAGCCCCTTAAAAATTTGACGGGTCCTTAATATTTTGAAAAAAAAAAAATTGAAGTATTTCAAACGTGGTACTCAAAAGAAGCGAAATTATATAAAAGCTACGAAAATAATAATCAATTTAAATTTAAAAAAATGTTTAAAAAATTATTTTAAAAAAACTTGAAAGTATTGACTTTTTTTATTTTTATCTTAAAAACAATAGTTTGTAGGCAATTATACCTGAAAAAAATATTTTTATGTAATTGATTATTATTTTTGAAGTTTTTATATAATTTTGCTCCTTTTGAGTACCAGGTTGACATACTTTAGAAAAACTTTTTTTTTTCAAAATATTAGGGACCCGTCAAATTTTTAAGGGTCGTGAGGCACCCCTAAAAATATCTTTTTTTCAAAAAAATTTTAAACCTAGTGTTTTTGTATTATATAGAACACATTTAGTTAAGAGCAGCAGACTATTTTAAAAAGGTTGTTTTTTGAACCACCCTAATATATATATATATATATATATATATATATATATATATATATATATATATATATATATATATATATATATATATATATATATATATATATATATATATATATATATATATATATATATATATATATGTATATACATATATACATATATATATACATATATATATATATATATATATATATATATATATATATATATATATATATATATATATATATATATATGTATATACATATATACATATATATATACATATATATATATATATATATATATATATATATATATATATATATATATATATATATATATATATACATATATATACACATATATACATATATATACATATATATATATATATATATACATATATATATATATACATATATATATACATATATATATATACATATATATATATATATATATATATATATATATATATATATATATATATATATATATATATATATATATATATATATATATATATATATATATATATATATATATATCTTTTCAATCTTTTTATTAGTTATTTTTAAAATCATTTTTTAATCTCGACAATACAAACTGTGACCAATCAAAAATGCTTTTACATTGATAGTAGAAAGTCGAAAAAATAGAGAGATTAAAATTTTAAAATTAAATATTAGAAAGACAGAAAAAAACTACTTGATTATATATATAACAGTGTATATATATATATATATATATATATATATATATATATATATATATATATATATATATATATATATATATATATATATATATATATATATATATATATATATATATATATATACAAACCAAAATCTTACAAAAATTTTGGTTTTTGAAATAAGCAAAAAATTAAAAAGAAGAAAAAACAAGAGATTTAAGTGTACTTACGCGAAAGTCGTCGGGAACACAAAACGAATTTATCATTCAAAAAGTAACAAAGAAAAAGAAACTTTAAAAAGTTTTTAAATAAAATTTATAAATCTTTTTTTTTCTTTCTCATTTTCCCCGAGGGAGGTGATACAAGAAAGATTTTAAAAATTAGTTTAAAATGAAAGGAACAAATATAGCTCATTTGATTCTAAACAGAATTGCAGAGTAAATCTTCTCACATCAGATTTTTTTTTTCGCAGCATGTGGCACACCTCCTCTCAACATTTTTATACCCTCTGAAAAAAAATTCCGCTTCCTACATGGTGGCCACCGTTGACTTTTTTTAAAAAATCTTTGACATTTTATTAAAAATAAAATGTCAAAGGTTGGCAAATCATTTAAATTGCAACTTTGATTTTCAATAATTACTCATAATTAATAATTAAATTGCTTGTTGGTTAAAAGGTAAACGTTGAAAATATTTTAATTTTTCTAGGCGGCAAAAGGCTGAAAATTTGCCTTAAGTTGGAGGCAAAAGTCATTGGAGGCAGCCTTCAAACTATCTTTCCTTCATTTATATCGTCTCCCTATGACGGCGGCTTCCCAAATATGCCGTCAAAAGATTTTTCTTCGGGGCTTTCAAAGGCTACGGCTAGGCTTACTTCACAAAAAGTTAAAATTTTGGCAGGTTACTTTTGAAGTTTCGCAGTATTACTTTGTCCCCAGCAGGTATTATCAATTTATTAGGCAGCGTGACGTAATGGCTAGAGAGCTTGTTTCAGAATCAAGAGATTCGAAGTACAATGTCTACTTTGACCATGCGAAATCCGTAAGAAAAACTGTATTTAACTGGCGAAAAAAGTATTTAACTTCTGAGTTAAATACTTTTTTCGCCATTCTCTGTGACAAACCGTTAGTGATTCTTAAAACAAAAGCACTCCCAAAACACAATAAATTATTCATGGGTTAAACAAATATTTATTTAAAAATATAAAACTTTTGATTTTTTTCCACCGTATATCTAGAGTATCTAGAAAAGTAACTTATTTGAATCTGAAATCTTCACAATCAACTAATGCTAATATTGTTGATTTTGAAAATGCCAGTGTTCTGCGTTTGTGATAAAAACATGTTAGTTGACTAGTTTTTGTCGAAGTTTTACTTCGACAAAAAAAACTTTGAGAAGATATAAAATCTTTTTGTTTTTGCTTGAAAGCAAAAATAAAAAATTTAACAAGGCAATCTATTTAACAAGGCAATCTATAAATAATTTAATCGTAATTTTTATTAAAAAGTTTTTTTTAATTATTTTTTTTCTAAAAAATGTTGGTACGTTATTAAGCACAATCAAAAAATAATCAAATAATGCGATTCAACGGCATAATAATGACGGAGAATGGCTTTAACTCTATACAATTATAATTTATAAAAATAAATCTGTAAATAAATATTGTCGGAATCCCATTGTGAAAATCTAACTCCAATCAGGTCTGGACAATTTTGGTTCAGTGTGGGATCTTTAATCTTAAAGTTGTTGGGTTTTTTGACGGTAGCAAAAGTCTAATGTTAAAACATTTTAGCTTGATTTCAGAAACGGGTTAAAAATGAGTAAATAAACCGGCTCAAACAAGTTTTAACGACTAATAAATATCAACATTTTGTTTAACATGTGATGCACTTGCTAGATCGATGTTAACAAACATTGCACAGCACAAAGGGTAATTTTCACGTGAAAGGTTACAAGCAAAGTTACAAAAACAAATCGGTGTTTAAAAACTAAGAAGATAATGACCACTGATAATTGTATTAAAACTAAAAAAAACCACAATAAACCCGCCATTTCTTAGAAAACGCTGTTCTAGACACCTACCTTGTTTATTAATATCTACGGTTATAGGCGAACAAAGTTTTTAAAATTATTTACTGATTTTTATATTTAAAATCATTTACTCATTTATTTGATAAGCAATAGCACATAAATAAAGTGAAAAACTTAATTCCATTTTTTGTTGAAAATATTTTAAATAAAAAATATCTTGTTGCTAATTAATATTCTTGAAATATTAATTAGCAACAATATGTTCGAAGGTTGAAATCTCCGTAAGGTTTTGTCACGCTAATGACACAAATGTCAAGTCTGATAAAACTCTAGGTTTCAGTTTTTGCCTAATGTATTATTATGTTGGGGTTATCAGATGTGAGTAAAGTTGGTTTATCTAAGAAATATTAAATCATTTATTCCAAACAGTTGCGAAATCAAAAACACACGCTAAGGTTCGTATTCTTAGATATTGCTAGAAGTCAATTAAAACGTCTCTGTTTAAATTACATTTATAAGATATTAGGAAAACATCGTGCGAGAAATGTAATATATAATTGATCACTTGTAAAATAAAAAATATAACTTTGAGATTTG